TTTAAAAATACTATATCTGTTTTGTAATTTTAACAATAATGAATACAAGAATAAAGAATAAGTTTTAAACATAATCTATTGTCTGCTTTTAATTTAGTTTTCTGTATGAATTCTATTTTAAATTACATTACTTGTATCTTGATTCTTCTATGTGAATTATCTGAATATATTACAATATGTAACAAAAAGATTACAATTATTTATTAAATAATACTATATATTTTATTTTACTTTTTAATTTCACTTAATAATATTATATATTTTACTTTAATTTAAAAACTTTATATTATTTATATTTACTAAAAATTTTAATTTTTAAAATATAAATATTATATTATTTGAGAGAATTATTATAAATAATAATTTTAACTTAATAATTATATTAAATTTTAAAATATACTTTAATTAAATTTATTTTTTTAATAATTCTTTAATAAAAATAATATATTAAAAAAAATTTATTTTATTTTATTAATCTTTTTTATATTTAAAAATAAATTTTTCTTATTAATTATAAATTATATAAATTTTATAAAATATTATTAATTTTTCTAATTTTTTAATAATAATTTTTAATTTATAAAGAATTATTTTATTAAATTTAAATAAATAATATTTTGAAATTATTAATTATAAAAAAAGAATTTTTTTAATATAAAATATATTATTAAAAATATTATAAAATATAAATTATTTTATATTAAGATTTTTTAAGAATTTATTAAAAATAAATAATAATAATATTTAATATATAATTAATTAAAATAAAATTTAATAATTTTAATAATAATATAATAAATAGTTTATTAATAAGTTAAATATTATAAATTAATATAGTGGTCATCAAAAATAATGCAATACTTAAATTTTTTATTAATTATAATTAGTAAAAAATTTAAGTGTTGCATTACTTTTGATGGCCATTATATTTAATTTATTTTATAAGATATTAAATATTTAAATAATATTTATCTTTTTTTATTAATTAAAATATATTACTTTTATATATTAAAATTTTTAAATTTTTTAAACTATAATAAATATTAAAAATAATATAATACTAAAATTTTTTATTAATTATAATTAGTAAAAAATTTAAGTGTTATATTACTTTTGATTATTATTATATTTAATTATTTTAATTTTATTAGTTTAATTATTTTAGTTAATATAATTATATAATCTAATATAAAATATAAATATATAAAAATTTTTAAAAAATTTTAATTATATTTTTAAATTATATTAATATAATTTATATAATATTTAAAAATATTTTTAATATATAATTTTAATTATTTTATATAAAAAATATATATTTTTAAACTTTAACTTTAAAAATTATTTTTAATTTTTAAAATTACAAATTTTATTCTTCAAAATTTTATTTTATTTATTATTAAATTAAATCATTAAAATATATTTATTTAATTTAAAAAAATATAAATATTAGTTATATTTTATAAAACTAAAAATAATTATTAACCTTTATTTTTTATATATTTTATATTTTTATATTAAATTATATTAATTTTATTAATGTACTTTTACTAATTTTTCTAGTATTATTTAATTATTTTAATAAGTAAATTTTAAATAATTTATTTTAATTATTTTTTAAAAATATTTATAAATAATATCTCTTAAAATTAGTATTTAATAAATTATAATAAATTATAATATAAATTATTTAATAAAATATATAATAAAAATTTATATTATAATAATATTTTAAAAAGTTAATTAAATTATATTAAAAAATTAATATTATATTATAAATATTATATTATTTAATTATATTAATTTATAATATTAAAATTAAATTAATATTAATTTTTTAATTTTTATTTAATATTATTTATTTAAATAATAAATTTAATAATTAAACTTTATATTAAATTTTTAATTTTTATATCAAATTATAACTTTTTTAAGAAAATAAATTTGGTTTTTAAAAATTTTATTAATAATTAATATTAATTAATTATAATAATTATTAATAAATATTAAAATTAAATTTATTAATTTATTATTTAAGAAAAAATAATATATTTAAAAAAAGAATTTAAAATATAATTTATAATATAATTTATTATTTATTTATTTATTTAATTTATATATTTTTAAAATTAAATTTAAAAATTTTCTAATTTTTAATAAAAATATAATTAAATCTTTTTATTGTTATATTTTTTTATAATCATCTTTTTATAATTATCTTTTTTGAATTTTTCAATTACTAATTAATTATAAGTAAAAAAATTTCTTTATAATTACTTCTTTTTATAATTATTTATTAGAATTATTTTATTTCTTTATTTTTTATATATAGTTAATAACAAAAAAAACTTAATTATTTTTTAAAATAAAGAAAAAATAATTTTTTATATTTTTATAAAACTTTAATATAAATTATATAACAAAATTTTTCTAATTATTTTTTAAAATTAATTTAAAAAATAATATTAATATTATTTAGTAGATAATTTTAAATAAATTTCTTAATATATATATATAAAAGTTTTATATTTTTTTAAATAATTTTTATTAAATTATAACAAATCTAAGAAATTAAATTTTTTATATATTTATAATTAAATCTCTTTATAATTATATTTTTCATAGTTATATCTTTTTTATAAGTTTTCCAGTTATTAATTAATTATAATTAAAAAAATCTTTATAAATATAATTACATCTCTCTAAGTACTATTTATATATTTTAAATCTATTCAAATATTTATTATAATTATAATAAACTTTGATTTGATAAAAAAAATCATTTAAAAAGATGTAAATTTCTCTTTATGTAATAAATCAAATTAAATAGTTTTTAAAAAGATCTAGTCAATATGTATTCAATAATTTCAAAGTTATTTTATTTTATTTGATCTATTAAAGATTTTTGCCAAAACCAATTTTCTTTATTAAGAAATTTTTTTATATCTAACAAACCAAATTAAATAATTTTGATGTCATTAAAAAAAATCATTTAATTTGGTTTACTGGATGCGATGATTTTATAATTAGTAGATTATCGATAAAATTGTCTTCCCGACACTTTTTAATAGCTAGATTTTGATGTCTGTTTTCTGTATTTTTCGCATTTTTCACTTGTGCCGGTTGTGAAGTGCTTGTGATCAGGAACCGAGCAGAGATTCTATCGTTATATGACATCACGTGATCGTCCCTTTTTCTTTGCAGTATGCAAAAACAAACATTGAGAATTTTATTATAATTAAAAAATTCAAATTTTGGGTGGCTGCTGATTTAATACACGAATAATAATAAACTTAATAACCATTCAATCCTTCTTTACATTATTAAGAAGTCCATCGCCTCCTCCCGTCCCTTTATTTCCTGATATCTTTGTGCCCCAACCAGAAAAAAGTCCAGGTGCACTACTCAATCTCCACTCTTTCTTTTCGCCGTTCGAATTTCCTAACATAAACGACCGCTTTTTTACTAGTTTAAACTTATTACTACTATTATCGTGCTTGTGACTACTATCGTCTGATGTCCTTGGGGGTGGCTGATTATTATCTTTCTTTTTTATAGAAGAATCGTGAGAAAGAGAAGAATTTTGTATAGATAATGACGATGATATAGATAATGAATCATTGACATCGGTAATAGCCAATTTTTGAGTATCGTTATTATTATTGTTGTTTTTATCATCATCCTTATTATTATGAGTGTAAGTAGATCCTGACAAATCTTCGTAATATGAAAGTGTCTTTGGTTTGGTTTTTCTCGAGAATGATAATGATGATGAAAAATTTGTTGTGCTATAAATACCAGAATTCAAAGATTCTGATATTGGTAGCTTCATTTTCAAAGGTTGAGAATTTACTTGAATGGAACTTTCTTCTGTCACAGATAAATTTGTTTCTATACCATATGATGATCCTGATGTCTTTAAACCTTCTGAATTCGTTTCATTACCATTATATGACAACGCCGGATGTCTAATCGGATGGGGTAAAACTGGTGGCAATAAATGCGCATTAGATTTCAACAAAGGTTCTTCCGTGTCACTATTATTTATGTTTGGTAAGTTGTGACGTTTAGTTGGAGAGTACGCATGAGATCGTACAGCTGCTTTTAAGTTTGTAAAGAAACCATTAGTCGTATTTGGCATCAAGTTCTGCGACGATTCAGATTTCATTTCTAAAAGGCCGGAGGAAATTGTTGATTGATGATGCTCAAGGATAGTTGGAGTAGTTTTATAAGAAACTTCATCATCTACTATGCTATTGATACCAAGAATAAATTAGTGAATATTTGAAGAGGCATCGTATATTTTTCCCAAGTATATAATCATACCCAAAATTTGCATCAATTGAAGCATCAAATTCTGTAATTCTATTATTTTCAACTTGGCGCATTTGATGCCAAGTTCTCATATGCTGTCCGTAATATCGAGTCGCATAAGGTGTTGTCATGGAAGATGAAGAGGTTGACGATGATTTGGATTTATCTATATATAATTAATAGACATGAAGAAATATTGACATCTACAAAAAGATTGGATATAAAAATTTTCTTACCTTGATAAGATAAATCCAATGAATAAAGTGATTCTTCCTGTGCAGCCGCAGAAGTTGAAGAATATCGCCGGTGAACTTTCATAAAATCTTTAGACGACAATGATGATTTTCTTATTATCTCATTTGAGTCATCCAAGGGTTCAAAAAAATTCATGACATCATCTGGTAATTGGTAGCTTTCCAGGTCCACAGTTTTTATCGTGTTTGATGCGAGTTGATTAGGATTACTATACTCACTCACTACTCCATCATCATCATCATCATCATCATCATCATCATCATCATCATCATCATCATCATTATTATTATTATTATTATTATTATTATTATTATTAT